ATCCTGACAGGAGGAAATACTTTAGAAGAAGCAAAGGAGCTTCAGTCTGAATTAGTACAAATGCTTCGTCGTGGAGGTATGGAGCTACATAAATGGGTGTCCAATCATCCTGAGCTGCTGCATGATATTTCAACACAGGAATATTCCTTTGAATCTCAAGAAAGTGTAGTGAAGACGCTAGGAATGCTCTGGAAACCGAAGGATGATCACTTGACTTTCAAAACAGCTGTGAACAATCAAGATAGCTTTACTAAACGTCAGGTGTTATCTGAAATAGCTAAGCTTTTTGATCCATTGGGTCTCATCGGACCCGTAGTAACGAGGGCAAAAATATTCATGCAGAGACTATGGCTGCTGAAACTGGACTGGAACGAGGAATTACCTCCCAAGGAGTTGTGTGAATGGAAAAAATTCCTTTCCCAGCTTCAGTTAATCGATCAATTGAATATTCCCAGATATGTTTTAACTGAACATTCCGTTAGAACTGAGATCCATGGGTTCTCGGACGCTTCGGAAAAGGCTTATGGTGCAGCTATTTACATCCGTTGTATTACCACTGATGGAATGAATTATTCCAATCTCCTTTGTAGCAAATCCAGAGTTTCTCCTATAAAGCCTGTTACAATTCCACGTCTTGAATTGTGTGGAGCATTACTTCTGTGTAGGCTTGTGTCAAAGGTAATAACAGCTCTGCAGCTAAGTATCGATGATGTTTATTTGTGGTGTGATTCTACTATTGTTCTAGCATGGATAAACACGCCTGCGTACAAGCTCAAAACTTTTGTGAGCAATCGAATTGCTGAAATTCAAAACTTGAGTCACCAATTCAAATGGGGTCATGTTGCCTCAAAGGAAAATCCAGCGGATATAATATCCCGAGGAGCAGACACTAGTGAACTTTTGGCTAATTCCTTGTGGTGGTCAGGTCCTGAGTTCCTCAATCAGCAACTTCCATTTCCAGAATGCATTTCTTATTCGTCGGACGAGGAGTATGAGAAAGAACTGAAACAATCATCAATTCCAGTTCTGACTTTGACAATGAATGAACATTTTATAGACTCTTTTTTAAAACTTTCCAATAATTTTCCTAAGCTAATCAGAATTCTCAGTTTTATTTTCAGGTTTATCTTAAATTGTAAATCCCAGGATAAGATGCAGGGATATTTAACTATAGATGAGATGAAAAAGGCTGAGGAGTTTCTTATACGGCATGCCCAATTAACTGCCTTTAATTCGGAAATTACAGCTCTTCGACGAGGTAAACCTATTCCTGCACAAAGTAAGTTAAAAGGTCTTGACCCTTTTCTAGATGAGAATTCTCTTTTAAGAGTTGGAGGAAGATTAAAAAACTCAAATTTATTATTTGATTGTAAACACTAGCTAATTTTGCCTCCTACTCATAGAGTTACTGTATTGAGTTTTGAATATTTTCATAAGAAGTACCTACATATTGGAGCGCAGGGTTTACTTCATCAGGTGCGTTTGAAATATTGGCCCATTCACGGCAAGGGCTTGGCTCGTAAGATAGTTCATGCTTGTGTGATTTGTTTTAAAAACAAACCAATTGCAGCAATTCAGGTCATGGGTAATCTTCCCACTGAGCGTATAACTCCAACTTCACCCTTTCTTAATTGTGGCGTTGACTTTTGCGGACCATTTCATGTACAATTCAAGGGTCAACGCAAGGGCATTTTTCCTAAAATCTATGTTGCTGTATTTATATGTTTGTCCACAAAGGCAATCCATTTGGAGGTAGTGACAGACTTGACGTCTGAAGCTCTTAAGCGATTTTGTGCGAGAAGAGGGAAAATCTCTTCCATCATTACAGATAATGCCACAAATTTTAAGGGGGCTCATACAGAGTTAAAGCGTTTACAGAAATTGATTAGAAAACCAGATGAGGCGTTATCCAGCTATTTCACCTCAGAATCTATAGTCTGGAAATTAATTTTCCCCTAGATCACCGAATTTTGGTGGACTGTGGGAAGCGGGAGTTAAATCCTTTAAGTACCATCTTAGAAGAACTATGGGAAGTACTAAGGTTACTATGGAAGAATTTCTTACAATCATTACTCAGATTGAAGGAATTTTAAATTCACGCCCGTTAACCCCTATGTCTAATGATATTAATGAATTTGAAGTTTTAACGCCAGGACATTTTTTAGTCGGCCGTCCAATCACGTCTATACCAGAGCCTGAACTTATTGAAATCACTGATAATAGGTTATCAAGGTGGCAGCGGACAACAAAATTTGTTCAATTAATATGGAAGCGTTGGCAAACAGATTACCTCAATCACTTGCAACAGCGCAATAAATGGCAGTTTCAGAAATCCAATGTAGAAACAGGTGCAATGGTTTTACTTAAGGATGAGAATTTGCCGCCTTGCCATTGGGCCTTAGGTAGAATTTTAGAGACAATCCCTGGTACAGATGGTAAGGTACGTGTAGCTAAAGTTAAAACTGCTTCAGGAATCTGTACTAGATCTATATCAAAGATCTGTTTATTGCCAATGTAATACTCAAGTTTCTGCTGACTTTATATATATTTGTGGAATCAGTTTATACATTATAAGAATTTAATAATGATTATATGTTTAAAGGATTTGTATGGCTTATTTTGAAATGTATGTGTATTGTAACATTTTTTTATGTCAACTTGACAATTATTTATGTGATTATCAAATTTGAAATATTGTAATTTGTCACTAATTAATTAATTGAAATTTTTGTATGAATTTCAATGCTGGGCGGAATGTTCCGCCCGGCATTGCGTTGACGGAATGTTCCGTCTCGGTTAGAATATTTCTGTCTATTTGTACTGGCTTAACGTTTGCAGCGCCACGTAATGTTAGTGGCGAGAGCCCAGTACTAATCAGTAAGCGATAGGGATGCACTCGGTCCACACCGAGTCTCCGTTCCTCTGCCCGAACAAAGCGGCAGTCAATTGTTAATTGTTCCTTTCTCACTCTTTGCCCGTTTAAGCGGCATTATTGTGCTTGAAAGAAAATAAATGTTGTTAAGTTTCTCAACTTGACTTTTATGAATTAATATACAGTCCACAACTACCAACTGCTGTCAACATACATTTATGCAGATTTTTCATTATTTAATTTCTTCAAATATAATGTAGGACTCTAACATTTGGTCGCAACAGTTTGAAAAGCGAAACGGAAATTTATAGTGAATCAACTATAAATTTCCGTTTCGCTTTTCAAATGAATTACGTCATTCAAAATTCGATGGCTCTATGCACCATTTTTTTTATCACAATGCGAGAAATATACATACTTTTATGCGGAGGTTTCCTTATTTAATTTCTTCAGATACTATACAGGTCTCTAACATTTGGTGGCAACAGTTTGAAAAGTGAATTGGACATTTATAGTGAACCAACGAAAAATCGCAAAACGGAAACAATAGTCCTTCAGGGACAAAGCCCCTTTGGACTAAAAAGAAACAGTTTTGCACAGACGATTCAGTATTTCTCATTTAATTAATGCAGTTCTCACTTCGCAACAAGGCAAAAATACATAAACCTCAAAACACCTATATTAAAAGTTATGAAGTAAACTTTTAAACACTTATTTGGTCGAATAAATTCCAGAATGGATTAAGCATGATTTAATTCGCAATAATAAATGAAGGCGTTATCTTTTTTGTTGCGAGTTTAGTTTCTCTAGATCGGTAACACATGATTATTCTGCCAAGTTTCAAATGTAAACAAACATGGCCGCACGGTAAAAATACTTAGGCTTAGCCGCACTGAAACAACTTTTGAATAATTGATAATTCTACAAATACTGCATGCAGATAAACTAAAGACATAAAAACCTTAACTAGAAGATAAGAACAACATAATTCAATCATTTTCAAAGCAAAAAATACAAAATTTAGAAACATATAAGAATAAAGAAACTGAGCTCACTGAGCCGAGCAACAGAGTGGATATACATACATATATTTATATACTTTTTGGTGCGGCCGACTGCGCACATGTACATGTTATGATGGTCCAACATACAAAATTTCACCGTTCTGAGGCTACTCCCTTTTGAGTTATGCGAGATACATTCATACGTACGTACGTACAGACGCCACGGAAACGGATCACGGCCGATTGCGCACATGTACATGTTATGATGGTCCAACATACAAAATTTCACCGTTCTGAGGCTACTCCCTTTTGAGTTATGCGAGATACATTCATACGTACGTACGTACAGACGCCACGGAAAATTTCTTTAGAATTCATTTTAAATCAGTTTTACAATTTTTTTTATTTGTGTGTCTGGGGGAGAATCTTTTATTCTGTCCTACGTACAGATGACCCACAAAAACATCGTTCAATTGCATTCGATAGCCGTCAAAATGTATATTTTCGTTGAAATATGATACCCGAAGTTTTTGCGATTATAATACTTCCTTTTTACTTCATACAAGGAAGTAAAAATAATAGTTTTAAATAGAAGACTATGTATATATGACATTTTCGAAATTTCCAGAAAGTTATTCGTAACAAAAGAGTGTTAAATCTGTGAGAAATTTATTCGTATTACAAATGCAGAATTCCCTAGATGGAACCTTCGACTATGAGTTTAAAAAACAATCAAGTTTTTCAAAAAAAAAAAAAAAAAAAAAAAAAAAAACGAATACGGATTTTATTTTTTTAAATACTGATCTTATGATCTTAGACAAGTGCTTCTAGTTATAAAATTTCTCAAAATATCGTAGAGCATTTATGAGTATTATTTGAAAGTAATAATCTGAAAGAGCCTGAAATACAAAACGGAACTTAGTATGCAGTTACTACAAAGTAAAGGATTGGATTGGATTATTCAATTACGGCAAAGCACACGAGGGCTATCTGCCTAAAGGAAGGGATGCCTTCGTGGAGGACTTTGTAAGGGAAACTGACTCGTATACACGTTACACATGGGGAAAACCACGAAAACGCCCATGCAGGCAGCCCGTTCGCGGGATTCGAGCCTCGGACCGAACTACCAGTGTTTAGCGTCTTTACCGCTCGACCGCTGGTGGGCCTATAAAGTAAAGGATTCTGAGAGAAAGAGTTTGCTACAATAAATATTGCTTTATATATTAAACATAGAAATGTCTTTCCGTCAGGTTCTTTCGTGATGCAAGTGGTTAGAAAGTCCAGATGATACTGAAAGATCCATGATTTGAATCCTAGCAAGTGTATATTTGATTTTTCATTTTTTGCAGTTTCATATAACCTAATGATCTATACAATTATAAGAAAGCAGCAAACAATATGAATCGTCTCAACAGTCTCTTCAATAACTTAAACATTACAATCTATTGAAATCAAGATTATCATTTAAGGACACTTCGTCTAACTGTCCAAAGAATGTAAATAGTCGTAAATAACAATGGCATTAACAAATAACAGTACCTTCCAAAATTTCTTTCACAAGAGAAAGTTATTTACTATCGAAATATTACAATAACAAATATGTTAATTGCATTTTCATAGACTGGCAATTACTCGTATAATGGCATAAAAGTTTGCTCACAACCTGAAATTTATGTATTTTAAATTTAAATTCGAAAAAATAAATACACAGGCTGAGAGCTTTTTAAATGGATTCTGCTATATTTAAAATAGCAATCTTTAACAAAATGTACATTACGATGGCATCTGAGATTTCTTAGTTTTAAGATATCGAAGAGAATTATTTAGGATTAACAGTATTAAAGGTTTGAGTTAAATAACACGCCAAATAATGATTATTGGAGGGGTTAAAGCAACAAAAATCAGAAAAATATTCATAAATTTGTGGGATTTATTTAACAATTAAAGGTGCAAGTGATCCCCACTTTCGATAGGTGTAAACTCCCTCTATAACAAGAAGTTCATTAAAAAGCGATACCAATTTACATTGATGGCAAATGAAATCCCAGCGGCAAGATATTGAAGTAGATGAATGGATTTCAGGTAATGCATTGATCTATACGTATTATTGATTGAATCCATGTAAGCTACAAATTTCACATCATATTGTGCATACATAACGTCATGTTAAATTAAAAATTTTGTTATAGAACTGCCGTCATTGAAGTGACAAACATAACTTTCTGATATAGAATTACAAGCTTGTTTCACCGGGCAATTAAATCAGCAATGGTTGTTACAGGCTTAAACAAACACGGGGCTGACATACAGTGATGACTCACATGTTAAGCCGATGAGAAAGAGGAGAATCTCTCTGGTGATGGCAACACATTAACATTTTGAAGAACACCTTGGATTGTAGATATTAGTATGGTGATACGAAAGTCCTTTGAGTACCATTCATTAAACGGCATCGTAACGGGTTCAACTATCACTTGACGGAAATTTTGATGAACATTTGATAC